CTGGTATAGAGAACTAGGCGTAGCGTATTGGGTAACAATCTCATGTTCTTGAATAAACTTAGCAAAAAGATCAAGTGCTTGTCCATTTTCAGTATATCTACCATAATATTCTCCACCTTTATGTGATCTCATAATTTTAACTTGCTTACCACATTGGTTCTCAACTTCATCCTTAAAGACTTTGAAGGCATCTAATGTTTCATTTTTGTTATGAAGCAAATAGATATACATATATCGTGAGTAATCATCTATAAAGGAGCTGAAGTATTTCTGACCATGTGTGTCCATGTTTGGACAACATATATCAGTATTATGATCTCTAATATGTCTGAACTCCTATTAGCACTTTTTTTGGACTTATTAGTCTACTTTCCCTTAATACAGTCCACACAAGTCTTAAAATTAATAAATCAAGAGTACTAAGTACCCCATCATTAACTAATCTCTTAATTCTCTTTACAGAGATACGTCCTAATCTCTAATGTCATAACATAGAGGAGTCCTCATTAATATTACACTTTTTAGTGCTAGAGTGAATATGTATTGAACTTTGAGTGTCATCATTTTATAAGAACATATGATAAAAACCATCAGACAAGATATATTTCCTAACACAATCAGATTTATATAATAAATGAAATGATGTGTCTTGAAAATTAAAAAAATATCCAACTAGTACAAGTCTAGAAACATAAATTAAGTTTCATGAGAAACTTGGTAGATAAAAGGTATTTTTCAATTTTAAAACAAAACCACTACTTAAAGTTAAAATGCATGTTCTAATTGCCTCCACATGTGAGCCCATCTTATTACCTAATAAGATATTTTACTTGCTTCCCACAGGCTTCCTTAGGTTTTACATACCCTACAAAGAGTTTGCAATGTAGATTGTTGATCCAGAGTCAATCCACTAAGTGTTAATATTAATATTAACTATATTAGATTCATAACACACAAACGAAGTTGGTTTACCTTTCTTTTCAAGCCATTGTTGGAATTTTGTACATTCCTTCTTCATATGTCCCTTTCTTTTATAAAAGAAACACTTTGCTTCTTTCTTGATATCAGCTTTGGGTAGTATTTTATCATTTCCTTACTGATGAGCTTTTTGATTGGCTTGATTTTTGTCAGTTTTATTCTTCCCGCGAGTGATTATCACCAGTGCACTCTCACCCAGTTCCATCACTAGCCTATCTTCTTCTTGAACACACATGGTCATTAATTATTATCCTTATATGTATTGTATGAACTTTTAAAAGGCCTGTATTAGGGTGGAAGGGTGTTCAAAATATAGTGCGGGAAGGATTCTGACATATTAACCTCGAGTTTCTTAAGTTGAGCCACAATATCTCGCATTTGCATTATATGCTTATACACACCCTTTATGTTAGTGAGTCTAAGGGATGATAATTTCATTATTATGGTACTTGCTAGTACATTTTTCGAAGTGATGAATTGCTCATCGATAGCTTGTAGCAAGTCTCGAACCTTTTTATGCTGGTCAAAAGAACCACGTATGCCAGCAGTTATCTTAGTCTTGATAAACATCACGTTGAGCTGATTGGATCGCTCCCATCGCTCAAATAATGTGACATCAGTTGGAGTGCTGATATTAGTGACTATAGGTGGTTCGTCTTTTTTAATAGCATAATCAGTATTCATCCATCCTAAATGGAGGAGAATCATCTCCTTCCATATCTTATAATTATCACCACTAAGTTCTAGAATGTCATATCGAATATCAGATAAATTAATAATTTAAGAAATTGTATAAAATCAAATATGTTTTTATCAAAATTTGAGGCTTAATAGTTTAAATTGTATGTTTTTACCAATATGAAACATGCTAAAAGATGAATCTCATGATATAAAAATTACCTATGAGCTAAATTCTTAATTCAAATAGATTCAAATGATCTTTATGATAAAACTATCAAATTATACTCCAATTCATAATCGTTGTAGCATGTTTAGAAAGATTAGAATAAACTTTGAAATTTCAAACATAGGTAGAAATAAAAAGAAGACTTTCAGCAATGAAAGCTAAGAGAAAGAAACAAATCTACCATATACCATAGTTGGTAAAGAAAAAAAAATCAGAACCTAATTTTACTATGATACTTTAAACAAGATGATAGAAGAAGAGAATTTTACTTTTCTATATTATTGCTTATATATAGGATGAAGTACATATAGTCAAACTAGAGAAAAGAAAAAAAGAAATCTAATTATATCTAGGTGCTAATCTAAGAAAAATACAATAGTTAGTAAAGTATCAATAATTATTTCCTAGTCTATTATACCAATAAAATAGTATGTTGAGAATAAAATTACAACAAAACTTAAGAGATCTTAACATTTTCGTGTAGATGATTTTGAACTAAAGAAATCTAATTGTTCATAGATATATAATTGTCGTTAAATGCTGACTATACTTAAAATGGTAGCCCTTTGCTCCCCTCCCACCTTAATAACTCCCCCAATCCACTAAAGGTATTTTCAACCCCAACAAAGGTGATACTACATCTTTTTCATCTTCCTCCCATGGTAAAAGTGACATGCCTCCGATAAATACTATTAAGCCTTCATAGGTGGTGTGGCCTTTAACAACTTGCCGCACAAATCAACATTAGAATGCATCAAGATTTCCTCCATTGACTATATTCAGTTCGAGGAGGTAAAAGTTTTTTATTGTCTGTGGGCTTCCTACCTCAATCACCACCCTCCTCTTCCGATTTTACTAATTTTTTTATCAAAAATTTGGCCATTCATTTCTTTTGCTTTTATTTATGCACTTAGGGTTTTAACTAAGGATCTTTGGCATTTCTGTAGAGAAATTTTATAACTCATTCCTTAATGTCCTAATTTTCAACTGCTATTTGAATATATCAATACTACTCCCCTTTGGATTCATTTGCTTGAACTTCCAATGGAATATTGGAATAAAGAGTCCCTATTTCCTATCATTTCTTTAATAGCTCATTCTCTTAAGATTGATCCCTCATCTCTTAAATATGAATATGAAAATTTTATAAGAATTTATGTTGAAATCGACATTACTCAACCCCTTAAATAGGCTTTATGAATTGGTTCTTTTAACATTGAAATTTTTCTAGTAATTTCTTATGAGAATCGCCACTATCAATATGATAGATTAAGTCATAAACTTAACCATTATTCTTTTATTTTTTATTTCTTCTCTTTAACTAAAGCTTAAGATGGGGATCCTATACCCTCGGGTGTGAAATCTCAATCAATTATAGTTTCTAATTCTTTTGATAATCATATTTTTGAATATTGGATTTGTGATAAGTGTCGATCTTTCCATAAAAAAAATTTAGCTTTAAGATTGGTGGCAACAACAGAGGAACAACAACCTAATAGTTCAATATGTGCTATGCACATAATAAAATATATTGTGGAGGCTAACCCTAATGTCTTCCAATGTCCATGCATCGTATTATTTCAAAAAAGTATAAAAAGTACAAATCCAAATAAGGATATATATCTTACTCCCTCCATCTCCTCCCCCATAGATTTTGGATCTCAAGAAGCCTAATGACCCTGCATGGGCTACTTATGGATTTAGATGGTAGATCCAAGTTAGATCAAGTCCCAACAACTTTAATAAATTTGTAGCCAATCTAATACCCTATCCAATCAGTTTCTAATATCTCTGAAATAATGATTCCTTCCTTTGCAACTATGGTAGCCTGAGAGATCAATATGTCCTCCGATTATATCTTTTTTGCCACTTCTCCTTCTAGGTTTAATAGCCAAAACCAACATATGATTGTATCTTCTCCATCGTTACTTACTAGCCCTATCTCTTTTATACATAATCCTCATCCTGATAAAGACACCTCTAAAGTATCTATAATGATTGATAGAATAAAAACTATCATTTTTAACCTTGATATATAAGTTATATCTCCATCATCTATCTATACTTTTGAGGACAATGATCTTTTGAAGGATTACTTGATTCAGATGATAAGAAATATCACCCATGCTAACCTAATTTTTTTAAGAATTACCTAATTCAGATGACAAGGATTACATGATTTTGAAGAAATATCACCCATGCTAACCTAAAGGCAATATTTGGAGCCATTGGAAGAAAAAAATATATTTCCTTATTTTTGAATCTCATATGTTAGGTTTGGTTTTATGGGAAAAATATTTGGCTATAATTCTTTTTTTTCGATATGTTGTCAAGCATCTCGACTCAGTAAAATTTATTATATTTGTAATGTACAAAATTCGAAATCTCGGCTTAAGACTCATAACGATGTGGCATAGATGGGTACACAATCGAGATATACCATTAATCATTATGGTTCAATCCTTATAAACCCGTTATAACAAAAAAATATTTGGATTTAGGATTTCTAGATAAGTTTTAATCTAATAAAAATTAATAATCAATAAATAAGTATATATATATATATATATATACATAGATTTTTATAAGTACTTTAAAGTCATAAACTAATTTCATCAATAAAACAACATGATAATTATATAGGCTAATAATCAATTATAACCCATCGAGTAATAGGCGTTTGAGACAAAAATAACCATACATGGTGATGTTAGGAAGATTGTGAATGTAGGAAATTTGTATTTGACTCAAAGATAAAATCTCACCTTCACCATTTATCATTTATAAAAATAATTTAAAAGTTAGAGAGCCAACAGAGTAACATTAGAAATCATAGAATTCCACCCACAGGGCAGATTTATATATTAGGAGTCATAAGAAATACAAGTAAATAACAGGGCACAAAGATCATCCTTCCATTGCCTCTTTGATCATGTATAAAAGACTCATAATCTATCCAAAGTTTTTAGAATTGTAACATAGTAATTTTAAATCCCCATCGACGGTGTCAATAAGATGAGATTTTTGCCACTGTTTGAAAGCAATATATCCTGATATTGCATGATGAAAAATAAACTACATATATTGACAAAAAAAAAAATGAAACTACAGATAATTATTAAAACCTGTCATATAAATATATATTTCTTCAATTGAATGAACATATACTTTGCCCAACCAACTAGTTTTCAATTTTGTTTGGTTCTACGTATAGTCCTTAAATTCTGGTGTATTGTTTGCTATGCGTGCAGCTATAATTACACCGAACAACCATATCCAATTATGTATACATGGATCTGCGTATGTATTCTCCGTATGTATTCTCGTAGTCATCAGGCAGCGGATGCTTCAGCCATCTTCGAGTTCTTGCATCCGGTGATGTGACCAACGTAGAGGTCGGAGTGGCTGCAATCACTCTTGTGGGGCACAACCTTCCTTCCACCTTCCGACATGCTCTTCACGAACGAGACGAAGTGCCGCCAATTCTCACCTTCAAAGAGCCTCTTGTTCATCCTCAAGTAGGTGAAGGCACTCAGGTCAATGCTGTCGTCGGCCCTGCTCGTAGCCAACACCTGCGAGTACGCCTTCTCATCGTACCTCTCCAATGCATTCTCCCCCGCCAGCTCCGCTCCGGCTGCCTTGGCCGCCTGCTTCACCTGCCGAACGATTAGCTCCGGCGAACAGTTGGCGTGGCCCGGTTGCTGCTCGTCTCTCATCTCCATGCACGTGAAGTTGAGGACAACGCCCCTCGTCGCCATCAACTTTGCTACGGGCAGGTAGCCGTCGTGGAACCTCGTGTTGTAGTAGCCGGCGGTGAGCTCGGCTGCATGAGAACGGGTTCGGTAGTGCCAGTGGATTCCTGCAACTTTGCCGGATAGTTTGGCGCCGGTGCCGCGGAATATGGCCTCTGCTGCAGCCAGGACGCGGTCGCCGTGCTCCAGTAGCGTTCCCGAGTACCATTCGAGGAAAAATTTGCCGTAGTGTGTGTTCCACGTGCCTTCTCTCCGGAAGAAGCCGGTGTCCTCCGGGAACTGGTTGTAGTGCCCAGCATCATGCGGCCCATCCTTGCCCCACTCCTCATGTCCGGCTGCAACCGCAGCAGCTTGCAGAGAAGCTTTCATGTACTGTCCCAAAGCATAAACACCATTTAATTTGTGAGACTATCTAATGCGTGATCGTATATGGAAAGTTAGCCATTGTCAAAAGAGGGATGCTGGGCAAAAAGAACTGCAAATCTTGAGCATGTAACGAATCTTAGATGGTCACCTTGTCATAGCACTGGAATTCTCCAATCCCAGGAAACCTCCAAGTTCCATTGCTCTCAGGATAAGATGGGTACCTCAGCTCCCCACAGGGGCCCATCCCTACTTGGATTTCCTGAAGCGCAATAAGTACATAAGTGACTGCATTGATTTGAAGCCGAATTGATGATTCTTTCATGAGATTGATATGTTCAGTACGGAACTCTAGAGTTAATCGGAAACATTTTTTCCTTCGAAAAAGATACAATTGGATTTGATGACATCGAGAAGACAAAGAATTGTTGAGATGCTTGATGCTTACGACAATGACATGGCCGAGGTAGCAGTTGAATCTGTCCTTGAAGCTTCTCATGTAATCGGAATAGACTTGGATGGGAGTTCGCCCCATGAGCACCGGCAACGTGTCGCAGCCGAGCGAGATGTACTCGGGGTTGCGTCGTCCCGATCTGTCGGTGTACACGATGTCCGGATCCCTCCTCGTCTCTTCAAGCACCCATGGCGGCAATGGAACGCTGCATTCAGTTTCCAAGCTTTGGATTAGCTCAGGCCAACAAGTACTAACAGAACCCCGGCGTTGCAGTATTTCTCCTTTTGATATTTGTCATGTTTAATGAAAACTGAAGAGCTAAGGTTGCAGCAAAAATTGAGTTCTAATGGATGCTTTCTCGTCTCAAAGTCAAATTTTAATTTTTGAAGACTTAAATTCGATGCGTCTCTAAAGTCAATTGGACTAACATATATTTAATTATTGTTTCTCAATGTGAAGGACACTTCCACCTCAGTTTACTAGTCATGTGAAATGGGATGATGAATATATGCAAGTACTGTTGATTGGAGGTACACCTAACATGGCTAAAGTGGACTCACCAACCCCATGGAGGCATATGATATTATATTGACGACTGTTACAAAGGAGAGCCATCAAATCAATGACTAGGCTGCGCTAAGCCAAGCAACCATAGCAAATCCACAAAGGCAAGCAACAAGACAGTTGGACGCCTCAAACTTCGAACTGGGAGAGATTCCCAATTTAGAGGAGTCACGCAAGAAACGCTTATCGAACAAGAAGAAGCTTGGCACGCAACATTATGGTAGTTTTGGATGCCTGTGTTACCAATGAAATGACCAAATCCCCAAATAATTCTAGTTTTACACTATATATATATATATATATATATATATATATATATATATATATATATATATATATATATATATATATATATATATATATCAAGCCGAAAGGTTTGGTAGATCCCAAGATGTAAAACTATTGTATATAAAGAAATTATTTTTTCGTTAGGTAACATCAAAACTTTATATTAGTGATGTAAATTTGAAAAAGGCCTTTTTGGAAAATTATTATATGATTAGCATACAAATCTTTACCCCTTTTTTTAGATTTAAAAATGATTATTTATAGTTTACAATATCATAATCTCAATTTGAAGGGATCATTGAGACTATATTATTGGTCCAAAATACTTAAATATGATTTTATTATTTAATACCTATTAAGTCCATATAAATCAACATAGGCCTTATTTATGGAATAAAAATGCAATATTTTTTTAACTAGACATAAATTAAAACAAAAATACTTATGGGTTAATCTAATCGAAGCATAACAAATCAGATACGAAATACTGTTTTCAGCATTATTTTCTCTTGATAAATTGTAATATTTTGAGTGACTTATCCTATTATTTGTGAAGGGCGAATCTTAGCCTCAAGAAGCCCCCAACACTTGCTATCTACACAAATCAAGTAAGATATGTCATGGGACACTAATCCTTTTGTGGATGGATATCTAATTCAAAATTGCATGGATCCAAGTTTTGGGTAGCATATACAAGATTGTATATAGAATTAGCAGTGGACAAAGTTTAAACAAGATGAATATTAGCGACAAAGTAAAAGGCAAAGCCAAAAGCATCATCAAATATGATGTACCTGCAAGAGTCTCCCACGTTACCGCCACACTGGTGGAAGGACATGACCATCTGAAGCTTGAGCCCGTTCCTCTCCACCATCTGCGCCAGCTCCAGATACGGCTCCCAGTTGTAGCGCAGGGGGCCGTCCTTCTCGACCAGCCCCCACCACACGTCCACCATCACCCCCTCCACCCCGGCGCTGCGCAGGGCCATCAGGCTGGCGTTCAGCGCCCTCGCCCTCTGCAGTCTCCCCTCCGGCGACACCGTGTCCAGTGGCAGCATCACGTAGACCGGCACCCGAGCCGTCCCTCCGGGAACTCGGTGCACGCCGGAGAGCCCGTGGAGCTGCTCGGCCTTCCAGCCCCCGTGCACTGCCGGTGCTCGCTCGATCATGCCGTGGTTGGACGCTTTCGCCGCTCGGAGGCGGCAGGCAGGCTTACGGGGGCTGAGGGGGAGCAAGCTGGGGGACTCGTCGGAGGCCTTGTGGCTCTTGCTGGGGTCGATGGGGTTGGTCATGAAAGAAGTCGATGAACGTAGAGTAAGGGCCATAGCTGCAGCCAAAACGTGAAAGCTCGAAAATTAACTATATCCTGTGCAGAATTATGTTGTTAAGACGAGAGAGAGAGAGAGAGAGAGAGAAGGAAGACAGGTTTGAGGATATAATGTTGAGAGAGGCTACTGATTTATAAAAGAAAAAGATCAACCAAGAAGGTTTGAATCTTTGAAATAGACAAATGTGGTGGGCTCAATATCTTCAATGTAAAAGTAGAAAAAAAGTGATCAGAGGGAACCATGAGCAGCTTTTCTGCCTCACATTTATCACATGGTTGGATATAAAAAGTGACACGTAAGCATAATCATATTTTTATTATATAAAAATTTAATATCAAAATCTAAACCAAATAATGATAGATCAATATAAGGATAACGTACTTTTTGATATTATTTAGAATATCTTATTTGTAGATCGTCGGATTGGAAAGAAATAATAATTTTGATTTATAAGAAGAACTAGACTCATTTCTTTCTATTCTTATTACAACTAGACTTACTTCTTTCTATAAATGATAAATAAGGACTAAGGGGACATGATATTATAATATTTAATATATAATAGGTCCTATTTATTTATAAACGAAAGTAAAGAATTTAGAATAAATAAGTATGAGAGCCTCGGTCATCTTCTAAGGAATTATATCATAATTTGACTTTCTTTCTATTAGCTTATAATCATAATTAGAATTTAATTAAATCTATAATATATCTTACATAATTAAAAAGAATCATATAATCTAACGTTCTTTCACTTGGTTTAATAAGACATAAAAATATCAAAAATCAAAATAAATAAAATAAAATATTATTTATAAATAATTTTAATCAATTAAATTCTAAACTCTTAAAAAGATATTTTACATATGTATATAAATTTTATAAAATTGACCAATAAGACTAATAAATATAATAATATTATATTAAGTTACACTATCAATGTAAGTCATAACAGTTATATACCATCAATATCTTACTTCCTTCTATGTGCCATAATATTATTTATTCTTTCTAGTATAGTCTAAAATGATGCTTATAATTTATCTTATTGAGACAATCATATTTAATCATTATATATATATATATATATATATATATATATATATATATATATATATATATATCAATTATTATCCATTAAAACATATATCATTATATCTTTTATAAATTACTCATAAATCTAATCATAAGAACATATTCTTTTAAATACTCTAAGATGTAAGGCCTTAGGGAATTAATTATTCGATATTGCCCTTTAAGTTATATTTAGTTTTAAAAACTCATTTATAACAAATTTTTTTATAATTATTATGTAATTTAATAAATTCTCAAACATCATTTTGGTCTATTGATTTAAACTCATCTTTTATTTCATCATGCCATTTTTTTGAATCGTCACTTCCCATAAATCTTGAAAGCAGTGAGGGATCCTTTTGATTCCTATATCATAATCTCATTCTTATAGATAAATCAAAACGTTCTTTCAAACACTTTATCAAGTTAGTGATTTGAAGAATAATAAATTTTTAAATATAAAATGATAAAGAAGTATCAATCTATATATCCTAAATATCAAGATTAAAATTTAAGATTCTCACTCTCACTGATTTATTATTTTCTAAAAATCTTATATTACCATATTCAATTATCCTCATACTATAATCAAGTCAATAATCTAGAAATCTTATATATATCTCTCTCTACTAAAACAGGGAATATAAAGTGACCTACATATGTATATATAATTTCAAGAAATTCATAAAACTATATTTCATTCTAATATTTGATTATAGGATCGTTGTAAATTTAAAATTCATATTGATTCTGTATAAACCATCTACATAATTTAAAAGTTACTTTTATTGAATCATAAATATATTGTGTTTACAATCACTAAAAGGAATATATTATCCTAATAATTTTAGATAAAGAATCTAAATTTTAGAATTATAGGAATATAACATGCATTCTTAAAATTCATTAAATGATTATTTTCTAGACATAGGCGAGAAGAACTTATTACTATCACTTTTTCTTTATGATGATTCCCCGTAACGATGAATATTTTATACTATTTTGGTTTTCATATTAAAATGAATCTTTATTATTAGTAACATAAGGTGTGTTGAATCTCGTATTTTGATGATGAAACCAATTGATATGTGTTTATATTTTAATCTACGTTTTGAGTGACGTAGGATGCTTCGATCAAGATTAAACAATTAAAGTAGAAAAAATCATGTTGGGCTAGAGGAACATGTCAGAAGATTGGACGTCGGACCGGTGGATCGGTCGACGTATCGACAGAAGGCTTCGGGAGTTCGAGAGTTCGTCGGAAGGTATGAAGCAAAATTAAGTAAAATCATATGCAGGATTAACTACAATAGCAAGATATGAAGCAAAATGAAGTCTCGGAGTCAAGGACGTGAGTTCGTTGGGAGTTCGAGAGTTCGTCGGAAGTCCGGACGTTCGTCGGAAGTTCTAGCAGAACCAACCAAAAAGTCTTAGAGCTTGCCAAAGAAGCTCGTCGGAACTCTCCAAGAAGATCATCATGAAGTCCAAGAGCTTGTCGGGAGTCCACCGGAATATTGCCGAGAGATCATCGGAAGTTCGTCGGAAGAATAGGCATAGGGACTTGTTTAGCTTAGCAAATGTATTAGGATTTCGTAGTTAGCACGTAATGAGGCTTGGATTTGGGCCAATCCAATTAGGGACTAGCTAGGCCCATGTAAGAACTATGTTGGGCCCAATAAGACGGCCAAACAGTACCCCAAAAAGTCTCACCGTCGTGGCATAGTCTTCGAGATTGTGTCAGGCGATGGTATCGCCAGTCTGGGTGATTATACCGCCCCTGGCAAGGTGCCAGGCGGTGGTACCGCCAGTTTGGGCGATGGTACCGCCGAGCACTACCCCCCAAGCGGTGGTACCACCAGACTTGGGCGGTGGTACTGCCCAGCACAATGTTAGTGTCGACTGACATTGGGCGGTGGTACCACCCAACATAGGCGGTGGTACCGCCCGTGCCCGGCACGGGGAATTCAGGATGGAAAAGTTTTTGGCTCTAAGTTTGAATCAATTTGAAGCCTATAAATACTATCTCATCTCTGGTTAAAGCACACAAGCACAGAGAGTCTGAAAGCAAAGAAACGCTGCTGCAATCTCTTTAAAAATTCCCTCTTCCAAGTCTAAGTGTTAGAATTCTATTTAAGAGAGGGGAGTGAGTGCTTATAAGGGTTATCTCCTAAACCTGGTAAAAAAAGAAGAGAGATGTAAAAGGTGATTGGCCTTCACCTATTGAAGGAAGGCCTCTAGTGGATGCTGGTGACTTCGTCGGAGGAGGAAGCCGAAGGTGGATGTAGGTCACGTTGACCGAACCACTCTAAAATCTGGTTTGCATTTCCTTTGTGCAATTTATCTTTACTGCAAACCTCTTTAATCGTTTACTGCGTTCAATACATTTATAAACGGGTTTCAAGCTAAGATCTTTACGAAAAGGTTTTCGTCGGAAACGATTTTTATCGAACGAAGTTTTAATCGAGACGTAATCTTTTTACTGCACTAATTCACCCCCCCTTCTTAGTACCGACCCCAATCCTAACAAGTTGAAACATCAGAATCAATCTACTAAGTATTAAAAAATAACTTCTATAATATTTAATTTAAAGTATATAAAGGGCAAACTTATACAAAGTCTTTTCATACTAAACCTTAAAGTCCTTTATATTGTCTTTCTTGCCACAATAGAAGCACTTAAAAATTTTTCTTTTGTAAGTCTATATATCATTTATAACATCAAGCGATTTATGTTTCAACTTTCTTTTATTGTTATTCACTTCTAGAGTAGTACCAAAAATATTATGAGTCATTACTATTTTAATCTTAATTTTTTTTCTACATATATATACTAGTCAACTTATTTAAGTTTTACTTATATTTAATTTTATTATAGTGAATTTTAAATGAGCTAATCTAAGAATAAATTATACAAGAAATGATTCAACTATATTCATACCCAATGTTCTAAAGCCTTGTAACTCTGTTAGTTATTTTGAGGATATAATCTTGAATTCCTCTAATACAATCATATTGAATTTCAGTTAGTATTTTCGTTAAGACGTCAGCTAATGACTTGTTAGTAAATTTAAATTTATCTTTAAATATTTTAATATACTAATTATATACTATAATAAAGCCTAAATATTATTAATAATTATTATAAAACTTAACTATTTAGACCTTTCTTGATTATCAATTATTTGTTTTAGAAAACTTTTAGTAGATAAGTCTATGATCCATTCAACTAGTCTGATGAAAATCTAACAACTTAGTATAAATTATGCATGCTCAAATCATTTATAATAATTTAATCTAAAAATAAAATAAATTAATAAAGAAAGCATCACTATAATAAAATAATATTATATAAATACTTTGAGTTTTTCAATATATGTTGAACGATTGATATCATCTCTATTTTACCTTTGAATAAAATATTGATATATCTAATATTCATATAAGATTTTACCACGATGAAGAACTGAAACCATCATTATGGAATAACATTATTACTTTTGGGTATACAATAATTAATTGTAAGGATATCCAAATTAGTATCATCATATTTCATCGTATAATTATTGATAGTAGATTTTCTATTAGGATTATCTAAATCTCATATGTCTTTATAAATATTATTTTTAATATTTATTTTAATTAATTTTTTAATATAATTTTATAAATTTATTAATCCAAGCTACTTTGATAGTTATAAGACTAATATAATAATATAAAAATATAATTTAAAACATTCTATAATGATAAAACTCAGAGATTTAAGTTACAAATAATATTCACCAAATATACTTTAATCTAATTTATAAAATATAATTTAATAATAATAATATAATAATCAAACTAATTATTAAATATCAATTAGGAAAAAAACTCATATGATAATTATAATTATGATAACTATAAATCATATATTTATATGAAAAATAAATATTATTTTATAATTTTAAATATATACATATGAATAACTATATAAATATCTCAAAATAATAATTAGAATTTAATTATCACAAACA